TGACCCGCTCGGATTCCTAACATGAAATGCGGGGCCCACAGGGAAGGGCTCCCGCCTGAGACTTCCTCGCGATTCACTCACAGACGAGGCTCCCGCTCGAGACTTCCTCCATATTCAGGCCTCAAGAGCCCAAAAGTGACGACGGTTACACGTTTCGGATGACCCGCTCGGATTACCAACATGAAATGCGGGCCCCATAAGGAGGGGGCTACCGCCGGAGACTTCCTCGCAATTCACTCACAGACGAGGCTCCCGCTCGAGACTTCCTCCATATTCAAGCCTCAAGAGCCCAAAAGTGACGACGGTTACACGTTTCGGATGACCCGCTTGGATTATCAACGTGAAATGCGGGGCCCACAGGGAGGGGGTCTCGCCTGAGACTTCCTCGCAATTCACTCACAGACGAGGCTCCCGCATGAGACTTCCTCCATATTCAGGCCTCAAGAGCCCAAAAGTGACGACGGTTACACGTTTCGGACGACCCGCTCGGATTACCAACATGAAGTGCGGGCCCCATAGGGAGGGGGCTCCCGCCTGAGACTTCCTCGCAATTCACTCACAGACGAGGCTCCCGCTCGAGACTTCCTCCATATTCAGACCTCAAGAGCCCAAAAGTGACGACAGTTACACGTTTCGGATGACCCGCTCGGATTACCAACATGAAGTGCGGGCCCCATAGGGAGGGGGCTCCCGCCTGAGACTTCCTCACAATTCACTCACAGACGAAGCTCCCGCCTGAGACTTCCTCCAGGTGAGTATGTGAATGAGTGAGCGTGTGACAAAGTGCGAGTGATGATGATGATGATGATGATGATGATGCTGATGATGATGATGATGATGATGATGATGATTATGAGTATGTGAGTGACTGAGCGTGTGAGAGAGCGCGAGTGATGATGCTGATGTTGATGATGAGAAAGTGTGAGCGAGTGTGAGTGTGAGTGAGTGGTGATGATGATGAGTGAGTGAGTGAGTGTGCGAAGGCAGAAGAAGAGAGGGGGTGGGGTGAGTGTTCCTGTGCGGGGTGTGCAGAGAAAACAAGAACCCCACTTTGGATGTGGGGAAAAACAAGAACCCCACTTAGGATGTGGGGAATGATGATGATGATGATGATGATGATGATGATGATGATGATGATGATGATGATGATGATGAGTATGTGAGTGACTGAGCGTGTGAGAGAGCGCGAGTGATGATGCTGATGTTGATGATGAGAGAGTGTGAGTGAGTGTGAGTGTGAGTGAGTGGTGATGATGATGAGTGAGTGAGTGAGTGTGCGAAGGCAGAAGAGGAGAGGGGGTGGGGTGAGGGTTCCTGCGCGGGGTGTGCAGAGAAAACAAGAACCCCACTTTGGATGTGGGGAAAAATGCACACGTCCGAGCGATGCCAAGAGAATCACTAAACCAGGTTTGCCATAGCTGGTGTTTTTCGGGTGACGGCAGTTCCGGTTAGTGGGAATGGGACGGGGGTGCGCCCCCGGTGCAGATCACTATTACTAAACCAGGTTCCACTGAACCCAGTTCTACCAACGCCCGAACGGGCGTTATTGGCAGAATTGGGTTTAGTGGAACCTGGTTTAGTGATGTGTACTGGGGGGCGCCCCCCCCCTGCCCCGGTCCGCTCACCGGGACTGCCGTCCCCCGAAAAGCACCACTTACGGCAAACCTGGTTTAGTGAATCTGGCCAATTTGAGGGGCCCCAGGGCCCTAACCGGGTCCCCTTACCCGGGGTCCTGGCTATACCCGATAAGAGGCCTCCCGGGTGGGGTCGGAGCCGCTGGAGCACGAGGACCGCGCCGCACTGTCGATGCATCGGCGATGTGTGTCGGCGATGCCTCGGCGATGCACCGGCAGCGTCGGTGATGCACCGGCGATGTCGGCGTCGAGAGTGGGCTTCGCATCGAACCGCATCGCCGATGCATCGGCGAAGCGGCGCGACGCTCAGGCCCCATCTACCCCGACCCCGTCTAGGAGGCCTAGACCCGCGCGCCCCCCGAGAGACGTACCCCGATCGGGGAGACGCAAGACTCGGGTTCGGGGGACTCGCGTTGGGATGGCGAGGCCGTCAAGGGGACGACGAGACCCAGGCTGAAAGGTGATGTGAGCTCCCACTGCAAGCATCCTACAAAGACTGGACCATCAAAACCCGGGACGGGCTCTTTGCGTGGTTGTTACGCTGGGCATTGCCTGGGCTGCTTCGTCAAGAACCCCCCCCTCCGATGTGACCTGCCTCCTCGTCTCCTCCCTCCCTTCCTTCTCGCCCTGAAGTTCCCTGAAAGGCTGAGGACGTGTCCTCAGGAAGACCTCTGAAGGCCCCACAAAAAAATAACACCTAAATCCTCGATCATCCTCCTCCTCCTCGCCCATCCCCCGACGCTGACGAACTCTGCGAGGGGTTGAGCAACATACGTTCCCAACCCACCCCAGACGCGCGACACGATCTTGACAGCGCCGATGAAGCCCGCCAAACTGGCAAGAGGAAATGAGATCTTCCGCACTCGACGATCTTGCCATCGCTCGGACGTCCATCATCCGTGCGTTGTTCCGCTTCGTGCGTGTTTTTGTTCCGCAAGGTAGTCCAACAAATTCCTCAATGGTCCTCGCCTAGGAACACAATGCACACGTCCGAGCGATGCCAAGCCATGGACTACACTTGCTAACAGCTGGCCCTCGGCGGTCAGAGTCGTCGGCGGCATTCCGCGGCCCCCTCGGCAGTCTCCGGCGGTCTTCGGCGCGAGACCTGAACGGATGCATGTCCCATAGCCCCCATTTCGAAGGTGTCCCACTGCGAGGCGGGGATACGTCTATATCCACCGCCCGTGGAACCGATGTCCTGGGACCCCAGCGGGCGGTGGATATGGACATGTGTGGCCTCCCCAGGGCCCAAATATGCCCATATCCACCGCCCGCCGACGTCCCCGAATGTCGACCTCCCAGGCGGTGGTTCTGAATGAATTCCTGCCTCGGAACACCCTTCTGTTTAACGACGGCGCAAGTCCCCACTTCCCACCTCCCCATTCTTTGTGGCCCTGCATCGGTCCCCCACCCACCCTCCGATTTATCGGGAAGATGCTCGACTTGGGTTCGGGGGACTCGGGTTGGCCCGACGGGGCCATCATGAGAATGATGCGACCGTCTGAAATTCGACAAGGGCTCCCGCTGCAGACGACCCACGAAAACTGGGCCGCCAAAATCCAGGACGGGCTCGTCAAAACGCGTGGGCGAACCCGAACTCCGGCGTACTCGCGTCGTAAATTTCCTTGAGTTTAACGACGGCGCACGTCCCCACCTCCCGCCTCCCCCTCCTCCGTGGCCCCGCATCGGTCCCCACCTCCGCAGGCCGACGCCTTCGCCCGGGCTGCAGCAGCCCAGGCGGCAGATCGGACGCTACAACTTGTCGGGCACGGAGACGGCGCGAGCCAGAATGGTGACGGAAAGCCGACGGCGGCGGTCCTTTCATGCATGCTCTCGCCTGCCTTCTGCGCTGCTTGCAGCTTCCACACCCACGTCTCTTGTCTGAACCGCGGGCCCACGATCGGCACTCGAGGGAAGGGAGCCATGTGAAACTGCTACTAAACGTGGCATGTGCCACGCGGGCGGCCGCCGCCGCCAGCGCGGAACGGCGGAGCGGCGGCGGCACCAAGCGTGGCAGTCGTGTCGCGCGGCCCCCGATGCCTACGGGGGTCGAGTTTCCTATGTTCACACGCAGGAGCGACTCCGCACCTGCGAGCCGAGGGGCCACACCGCCAGCCCCCCTCTCCTGGAGCGGGACGACGCCAGGGCGACCACGGCAAGGCAACCTGCACTCACAATAACATAACAGCGCTCCACGCGCCTATTCGATGACGCCCGGGAGTCTGTTTTCTGCCGGGCGGCATTCGCTCAACGATCAGAGGATCAGCTTCAGCACGCGATGCACCGATGCAACACCATGATCTACGATTCGCCGTGGAGGGAGGAGGAGGAGGAGAAAGAAACGGGAGCAGGAGGCGGAGGACAGGGGGAAAGAACATCTTCGTGCGCTGATCGCTCAGGAAGCACTGGCTCAGATCATTTCCACACTGGGGGGCGGAGTCGCTCCTCGAAGCAACCTCGCAAGAGCAGCCTGCCAACACTGACCGCAGCGGATCGAACACCACATTTGCTGTCCTGCTCCGCGCGGGCCATGGCGCAGGCGAACACACCTCGCTTTTGACCACCCTCGCTTCCAAGAGATGCCAAACGACGCCAAATTGCAGCCTGTACTGGTCAGGCCGCTTGACGAGGAGGCGCGTGGTATGGCTTGGGCTTGCCTGGAAGCGAAAGCGGGGCAGGTAATTCACGCTCTGACTGTCGGCCCGCACCAGAGGTCGCTCTGGCGAAGTGTCACTCGTACGCGTAGCCGCTCCGCTCAAGAGAACTGCCCTGCTGGTCAAAGAGGCTGGAGGCGCGGAGGAGGGGGGGCCTCGAGGCGCGGCGCAGGGCGCCTGCAATTTTGCTGGCAGCGGCAGCGGCACGTTCTCCCCCCGCCCCACCTTCGCGATCCGAGGGCTAGCTAGAACAACGCTGCCAACATCCTCGCCCTGCTTTGCTTTCGTTCTGCGACGTGCCTTCGGGGCGCAGCTTCGCTACAGTTTGACCCAGTATGAATACTGCTGTCCTCTCTCTCCCTCTCCCTCCCGCTCTCTCCCTCTCTCTCTCTCTCCCGAAGATGGTGTGGGCGTGGTCCGCCCTCTCCACATAGTGATCTCACACACCACAGCATTTCAAGAGGTCTTCACGCTTCGCGTAACCCCACCAGCCCCTCCAGCAAGAATGCCCAGACGAGCTGCCTTGATGAGAAAGTGGGGGAGCATGCAGAGGGACAAAGGGCCGGGGAAACCATTGCACCCCGAGATGAGGAGGATGGAGGAGGAATCGGAGGAGGATAAGGATGAGGAGGCGCACTGGTATATGATATGCTCTATCACGCCCTATGCTGTAAGGATCAGGGGGCGGGAATCCCATCGGCGAAAATTACTCTCAGGTCATCGGGGCGTCTGGGCCGACGCCACGCAGACCTCCTAGCACTGCGCTGCTTCGAAGGCAGAGGAAGGCAAAAATAGGACCCGGCTCCTAAGTGAGCTGCAGGTCCACCTACGGTGCCAGGTCTGCCTGCCCCGACATCCGACGACGATGTGGCCTGTTCCTTCTGCGTCCCCAGGGCTCCCGACCACTCCCTGGGCGGCAGCTTCTCGTCCAGATCCATTCCTGATGGCACCGGGGACCGAACACGCTCCCCCAGGAGCCGAGGGAATATCTGGGACAGCGCCGCGGCTGAGAAGACCAATGCTTCGGATGCTTGGGTGGGGAGCAGGAGAGCAGACACCCATGGCCAAGACTGAACGCGGAACGTCGGTGCCGATCTCGGTCACCGGTCCATCCTGTTCGCCGACAACTCGTGGGACATCCCCGCGAATCGGCGACGGCTGGCACAGGCGATGACCAAAACTGGCGTCGACAAGATCCCGCGACATTTTGGACGAGATCATCGCCAGAAGGACAAGATGCATAGCTTTGATCGGAGCTGGACCCCCTTCCCTGGCGCGCGGGGAACACCAAATTCTATCCAAGAAATCCGCGCGGACCGCCGGAAGTTTATCTTTGTTCAGCTTTTCTAATTCGGTATTTGGTCACGGTCGTCGTTGCGGGCAAGATATGTATCCACATCCAATGCAGCCTTGAGTTTCGGGCTTCCTTACCCAGAAATCCGAGGCGAGTGCCCCCTGAGGCTAGAAATCTCTTTCTGTCTCTCTCTCACTCTGTCTCCCTCTCTCTCCCTCTCCCTATATATATATATATACACACATGTATGGATTCAATGCGCCTCGGCAGTTTTAGCACCCCTTCCCAGAACATTTGGACTTGAGGATCCAAGAATACTTCCTCCCCACGAGCGGCACGTTTGTCATTGTTCATTTGGGAAACAAACAAGGGTATCAACATAAAGACTCGGAGGTACGCGCGGATTGCTCGGGTCGGCGCTAGACCCCCTCTCCCTGTCGCGCGGAGCGCCCCAGGGGCGGCGCCTCCGGCGCCGCCAGGAGCCCCCAGCGCCGACCCGTGAAATCCGCCGCGCGGACCTCCGAGTTTGCATGTTTACGTCACTGGTTGTTCCCCTATGGTTGTTCCCCACAAGCGGCGCGTCTGTCATTGTTTGTTCCCCAGTCTGAAATTACGCACGAACTCCCGCTGCAGACATCCCACGTAAACTGGGCCGTCAAAATCTAAGGCGGGCTCGTCAAAAAAGTGTCGGCGAAACCGAAATTTGGCGCACTCGAGTCTTACGCTTTCCCCTGAGTGCTCCGCACGAGCGGCGCGTCTGTCGATGTTGGCTCTCCAAGGATCCTGGTCACGGTCATCGTGCTTCGTTGTCGTCGTCGTCGTCCTCGTCCTCGTCCTCGTCGTCGTCCTCGTCGTCGTCCTCGTCGTCCTCGTCGTCGTCGTCGTCCTCGTCGTCGTCGTCCTCGTCCTCGTCGTCCTCGTCGTCGTCGTCGTTCTCGTCGTCGTCGTCCTCGTCGTCGTTCTCGTCGTCGTCGTCCTCGTCCTCGTCGTCCTCGTCGTCGTCCTCGTTGTTGCCGTCGTCGTCGTTGTCGTCGTCGTCGTCCTCGTCGTCGTCGTCCTCGTCCTCGCCGTCGTCGCCGTCCCCCTCGTGGTCGTCGTCGATGGGGCGCCCGGCTCCCTCTGCGGGCATGGGCAGACCGCCCCCCCCGGGCGCAGCGCACGGGGACCCCTCCTCACGCGGGGGCGGGGCGCGCGAGAAAGGCGTGGGCCCTCGCCCTGCGGGCGCTCGGGCGCGCCGCGGGGCTCATGGCCAGGAGCTGCGCGACCTGGAGGGCAGGCTGCACACACTCGCCATCGCTCGGACCTCCATTCCCTGTTTTTGTTTGGTTTCGTGCGTGGTTTTTTCGCCAAATGATCAAGGATGCTCCTCGATGGTCCTCTCCGAAGGAAATATGCACACGTCCGAGCGATGCCAAGCACGGCACGGGGCAACGACCACAAGGAGAGAACCTGCCACGAGGAAAACGCAGCCCAGAGACCCCGGGGCGTCCACTGGTCTCTCGGCGTGGGAACGCCTGCGCTCCCCACAGCAGAACCCTCTGAACCCAAGAAAGAAAACCCAGGGCACCCTGGAGGCAAGCAGGGTATTTCTTGGCATGGGTCTCCACTGTAGGACGAAGCAGGGACGAGGATGAATCTGGGCGAGGAGAGATCGAGAATCTCTTGGATCCGGCGGTTCGAGAAGATGTCTCGGGCGCCGCGGCCTCCTCGGAGCGTGCCAGAGCGCTCTGAGAGCGTTCCGGAACGCTCCGGAGCGGGTTGATCCTCTGCCTGGCCCCGTCCGACATGTCCGCATCCGCGGCGATGCCGCGCGCACGAACAACAAGATTCCCCATAGTTTCTCATGTTTTCTGGGCTTTTCCCCACATCCTGAGTGGGGTTCTTGTTTTCCCAGAACACCCTCTCCTTCTCCTCCTCCTCCTCCCGCGTCCTTACCATACCAAGCCCTACCATACCAATACCATACCATACCAATACCATACCAAACCATACCAAGCCATACCATACCAATACAATACCATACCAATACCATACCAATACCATACCAAGCCATACCATACCATACCAATACCATACCAATACCATCCAACACCTGTTATTTATCAGGTTTCGTCTGAGCTCCCACCCACCATACAAATACCATACCAATACCATACCAATACCATGCGCCCCTCCCACCCCTCCAGGGAGGCCCCGCCAGAGCGAGGACGCTATTCGAAACCAATGTTATTTATCCGGTTTCGTGCCCCTCCCACCCCTCCAGGGAGGCCCCGCCTGAGCGAGGACACTATTCGAAAACAGTGTTATTTATCAGGTTTCGTGCCACTCCCACCCCTCCAGTGAGGCCCCGCCTGAGCGAGGACGCTATTCGAAAACAGAGTTATTTGTATCAGGTTTCGTGCCCCTCCCACCCCTCCAGGGAGGCCCCGCCTGAGCCAGGACGCTATTCGAAAGCAGTTCTATGTATCAGGTTCCGTGCCCCTCCAACCCCTCCAGGGAGGCCCCGCCTGAGCGAGGACGCTATTCGAAAACAGTGTTATGTATCAGGTTTCGGGCCACTCCCACCCCTCCAGGGAGGCCCCGCCAGAGCGAGGACGCTATTCGAAAACAGTGTTATTTATCAGGTTTCGTGCCCCTCCCACCCTCCAGGGAGGCCCCCCCGCCTGAGCGAGGACGCTATTCGCGAACAGTGTTATTTATCAGGTTTCGTGCCCCTCCCACCCCTCCAGGGAGGCCCCGCCTGAGCGAGGACGCTATTCGAAAACAGTGTTATTTATCAGGTTTCGTGCCCCTCCCACCCCTCCAGGGAGGCCCCGCCTGAGCGAGGACGCTATTCGAAAACAGTGTCATTTATAGGTTTCGTGCCACTCCCACCCCTCCAGGGAGGCCCCGCCTGAGCGAGGACGCTATTCGAAAACAGTGTTATTTATCAGGTTTCGTGCCCCTCCCACCCCTCCAGGAGGCCCCGCCCGACGCTATTCGAAAACAGTGTCCAGGTTTCGTGCCCCTCCCACCCCTCCAGGGAGGCCCCGCCTGAGCGAGGACGCTATTCGAAAACAGTGTTATTTATCAGGTTTCGTGCCCCTCCCACCCCTCCAGGGAGGCCCCGCCAGAGCGAGGACGCTATTCGAAAACAGTGTTATTTATCAGGTTTCGTGCCCCTCCCACCCCTCCAGGGAGGCCCCGCCAGAGCGAGGACGCTATTCGAAAACAGTGTTATTTATAAGGTTTCGTGCCCCTCCCACCCCTCCAGGGAGGCCCCGCCTCAGCGAGGACGCTATTCGAAAACAGGTTATTTGTATCAGGTTTCGTGCCCCTCCCACCCTCCACGGAGGCCCCGCCTGAGCGAGGGCGCTATTCGCAAACAATGTTATTTATCAGGTTTCGTGCCCCTCCCACCCTCCAGGGCGGCCCCGCCCCGCCTGAGCGAGGATGCTATTCGCGAACAGTGTTCTTTATCAGGTTTCGTGCCCCTACCACCCCTCCAGGGAGGCCCCGCCTGAGCGAGGAGGGTATTCGCAAACCATGTGATAGAAAAGGATGGAGAGGGCGAGGGCAGGTCGGCAATTTCATGACAAAATGATCATTGATTCCGCTGTCCCAATAACACCATTATGTGGGGAACTCCGTCAGCATAATTGTCTTCTCCCCCACTTCCCCTATTTGCCCATAATTTCCGGTGAATCGACGATTAATTATGCCTGTGTGTTTTTTTCCCTCCTGAAATACTGGAGGGGGGGGCGGCGGGGACGACGCCCCCCCCCCCGCCCCCCCCCTCCGTGCGGGTCTGGCACCACAGCACTGCGGCAGTGCCGGGGAGGCGCTCGGGGGAGGGGAGCGTGACGTCATGGGGGGGGGACCCCGACCGTCCGAAGTGCTCAAGAATAGCTATCTGGCCTGCTTCAAAAATCGGCTGGAACTGGAGCATCGAGGTCCTGCTGATATGTTGTAGCCCTCCTGGACGGTCAGGGGAGGGGGGGAGGAGGAGGGGGGCATAACGCGCGTTATGGCCCAGAAGGTACAAGAAAAAAACACTCTACTGGGGGGCGGACGGGGGGAGAACCCAGACATGCTCGTGCCGTCAGAAAGCAACGGGAGGTTGTTGGCCAGTTCCAGCCTCCGGGGTCCCTCGTCGGTGCCTTGGGGCCGCCGAAGAACGACTCGGGAGGCACAACCTTCGCCTTTGGGATTTCCGGGGACCGCGTGCTGAACAAATCGAGACATGTCAAGGAGGGAAGCATGTCTGGGGGAGGAGGCGTACGCCGTGCCATAGCTGTGCATAGCAAGTCCCTGATTACCTGCATGCTAATGCCAATTACCTTCCACTATGCCTGAGCGTTCCCAAGAACCCGCGGGGCTAAACCGTGACTTTGCCGTCCGTCTCCCCCGAACCCCAGGTAACGCCCGCCCTTCATCCCAGGGGAATCAACACATTAGCCAGCGTGGACGCCAAATAACGCGTTATTGCACAGTGGAGGTGCAAACTGTGCGGTGTTAGCTGGTCAAGGCTAGGTACTGTGAGCTGATGAAGTGAAAAAGGTATGCGGTGTAAGCTACGAGGCGGCACCGAAGCGGCAACGGGCGGTCAGGTGGCGACTCCCCAGCATACCCACACTACGCTCCAGGCGGCAACGAGGCGTTAATGTGGCGGAACCTAGGCGGACCCCCCAGCGCGGTAGGCGGCAACGAGGCGGCAACGTACGTGGCGAAACCTCGGCGGACCCCGCAAGCGGCACCAGGCGGCAACGAGGCGGCAGCGGGCGACACCGTGGCGAAACCTCGGCGGCACCATCCAAGTCCCCAGTAGCACAAGCAAGGAACCCTCAGTGCAGGGAGATGGGGCCAGGGGGGAGACTCCGTGCCCGTGACAAGTCGACGAGGTCGAGGAGTACTCCGGGACTCTGGGCTGGCCACGCGCGCGCGGGCAAATGGGGCACGGGGCCCAGGAAGAGGGAAAGACTACCGACGACGACGGATACGATGACGAGCGACGATGGCGAGGACGATGGAGGCATAGGAGGTAGAGGAGGAGGAGGAGGAGGAGGAGGAGGAGGAGGAGGAGGAGGAGGAGGAGGAGGAGGAGGGGGTGGAGGAGGAAGTCCTCCTCCTCCTCGTCCTCCTCATCGTCCGCGGGAGGGAATGTTCCCTCTGGGGTGCAACGCCGCTCCTCGGTCGGGCGGAGGAGGGGCCGGGCGGCCCGCCTCGCGCGGTGCCGCAGGGAGCGGGCACCCTGGGCCCAGTCCGCGGGAAGAGGGGGCAGGCAGGGAGTTGATCGCCTGCGCGCAAGCGTGACCCTCCAGTAGGAGCTCGACCACACAAGACCTCCTGCAAGGAACCCAACCATGAGACCCCAAGACGACCACTGATGTTCGGTGCGGGGGCGTCGCGCTTTCCATAGCAGACCATGTAACGCCAAGAAACCCAGGGCACCCTGGAGGCAAGCAGAGTGCTCCTTGGCATGGGTCTCCACTGTAGGCAAGCATTGACCTTTGATGCGCGAGTCTTGGGGAAAGAGGCCAAGCCCGGGGGCGCGGGGAGCTGCCATCACATCGCGTTCGGCCACCTGGGACCCCAGGTGTACCCGCACCAGAGGTCGCTCCAGCGGAAGGTCACACTTGCACGTACGCGAGTGGATGACGGTCTCATTGTCCGACACCACTACCATAGGCAGGAGAGGGAGCAAGAGGGAGAGGAGGAGGAGGACGAGGAGGAGGAGGAGGAGTAGGAGTAGGAGGAGGAAGAGGACCTCCTCATCCTCCCTTCTCCCCCGTCCTACCTATGGCAGTGGTGGTGGAAAACTGGCCCATCCGAGGACCAGGTCCATCCCAGCGTCGCCGAGCTCCGGGCGCTTGTCGCGGATCGCCCGGAGGTCCGTAGGCGGCCACTTGGGGAAGCTGGGCCTCCACTGCGTGAGAGTCTCCTGGAAGCCTGGCCAGGCAGTCTCCGTGGGGGAGCCCAGCATCTGCATGATCTTGAACATGGTGCCGATTCCGCAGTCTCCAGGGAAACACGGGCACCCGGTGGCCATCTCGACGACGATGCACCCCGAGGACCAGATGTCAACCGCTGGACCGTACTTGGGATTCCTGGGATGACCAAGCAGCAACTCTGGGCCACGGTACCACAAAGAGGTCACCCCTTCGGTGCAATTCCAGGCCTGAACCGAGGCGATCCTGGCGAGGCCGAAATCACAGATCTTGAGGCCGTCCACGGGATGAATGAGAACGTTTTGCGGATTCAGGTCACGCTGGATGATGCGATGCTGGTGGCACGCATGCATTCCCTCAAGAAGGTCCTGCGAATACTGCACGACCTTCTCAATAGGCAACTGGGTTCCCTTCAACTGGTGACCCCTCAGGACCTGGTACAGGTCGCCCGGGACGTACTCGAAAACCAGCTGACACTCATCGGCACCCATGAGTAAATCTTTGATCTGCACAATGTCCGCCGATGCCCTTGCGTGGGCCATCAGCATACGATACACAGGATTGAGCAGCTGGGCAGCCCGATGTTCACCTGTGCAATTCGGCAGTCCACCATCACTACAACATTGCAGCTCCATGAGAGAATCGTCAAATTGGACAGCCTCATTTTCGTTGCTCGCGACCCACATGTTTTCATAAGAACATAGGCGTGATTTCCCAATGGGGTCCGGAAAACACACTCCCAACTCCTACGTGAAAACCGTGCTCTCGAAACGTCTGGCTCCCCTGGGAAGCGAAACAAATGGGACGGAGCGGCGCTGCCAAGTCGACGAAGCCCTCATGCAAGTGTATTATTCGTTCGCTCCCCCGAGGCCACGCCCCTCGAAGAACAGCTACGGCTGCGCCTCCACGATGGGGCGAGAATTCGAAGCATCACAACTATGGACCCGACACCGCGTTTTCTTAATAAACATCGGCTAGCACCAAGGAGCTGATGTGATTCGTTCCGAAGTCAATCGCGGGCGACTGCATAGCGAGATAAGTTACGTAAGTGACAAATTGACTTCGAGTAGCCGTTGCACACGATATGTGTGCTTCAAATGTGCTTGTGTCCCATCTTGATTCACTTGCCAACGGGCGGGGCACAATAGTTATTTGTGCTAGGATGGTGTCTTCCTAAGATAGATCAGTATGTCGAGTAGACACGTTCGTTTTGTTCGAAGTCGTATGTTAGAGATGAGGGCTGGCGGCTTATCATATGTCAATGCTGATGTACGTCGCGGGTGATCGCGGTGTAAGCTGATGATGTGTGCTAGTGCTGCATGTACGTAGTGCATCCATTCAAGTATATGACCGGTGTCAATTCCTAGCATGTGAGGGTGTTGTCTGTGATTGGCGTATGCTGTTGGCACAGGCGGTGAATGTGTGTGATTGTTGTGCTCTGCTGGCCATGTTACTGCAATACGGAAGCGGTGTATGGTCTTGTTGCGAGAATGCGATGTCTGTCCTGGGTGCATGGTCATACTGCGTAGGTTCGGTGTTGGGCTGATTCTGTGTGACACATCCATGCTACTGATGCTTGGTGCTCAAAAATATTACTGGTGCCTTGTAACTGACGTGTGCTCGTGGTGTGTGATATTGATGGTTGAACTGTTTAGGCCTGAAATCGATGCTTGAGATGGAGGTGGGCGTGCCTCGTTGGCGTCTGGTCTTGGTGCGCACTACCAACGCCTACTGCCGGTGCGCGGTGCTCCTGAAGGCTCTCGGTTCCCCAGGCAGTGCTTGCACTCAGGGGTTCTCGAAGCAACCAGACGGCTGTTAGGGGGCCACATGCGAACCCTACCCCTACCCCCCACGATTTTTGAGAGGGAGGGTGGGGTTCACTTCGCTCGGGAGCTCTCGAGCGAAGTGAACCCCACCCTCCCCCTCAGAAATCGTGTTGGGTAGGGGTAGGGTCCGCATGTGGCCCCCTAGCTGTGCCGAGCGTTCGCCACCTTCCCCCGCCCGCAGCCGCCCGCGGGCGTCCGTGGGCGGCCCGTGCCCCGGGTGGGCCCGCCAGCCTTCCGCCCCGTGCCCGCTCGCTGGCGCCTCGTGGGCGCCCGGTGCCCGGGGGAGGGGGTCCACCGAGGTCTCGCCCGGCGCCCGCCCCGCGGGCGCCTCGCGGGCGCCGCGTGGGCCCCGTGGGCTCGCCCAGGCTTCGCCTCGTGGGGCTCGTTGGCGCCACGTGCCCCGGGAGGGTCCGCCGAGGCTTCGCGCCGGGTGCCCGCCCCGTGGGCGCTCGTGCACCGAGGGTTCGCCGAGGACTCGCCTGGTGATTGCCTCGCGGGCGCTCGTGCACGCCCCCTGTCCTGGCTGGGTCGGCTCAGGTTTCGCCGGGTGCCCACACGTGGGCGCCTCGTGGGCGCCTGGTGGGAGCCCCGTGCCCGGGGCGGGTCGGCTGGGGTTTCGCCTGGTGCCTGCCCGTGGGCGCCTCGTGGGCGCCTCGTGCGCGCCACGTAACCCTGCTGGGCAGAAGAACTTGCACAGCATCGCTGACACCCAAAAGCTTACAAACTCTGCTCACGCCGCATGGGCCACACCGCATACATTACGCGACACAGCTCACACCACACAGCGTGCACAACACAGCCTACACCGCATAGGTTGCACAACATAGCTTACACCACATAGCTTACGCCGCATAGCTCGCACCTGCACCGTGGGCTAAATCCCTGATCGGGGGCCTTGCTGGCCAACGTGTGTGCTACACATGTCCACGCTTGATGCACATGATTGGTCATGACTATTGGTGGCTGTCCTTGAAGCCTGTGCGGATGCTGAGGCTGTTTGTTTTTTGGTCTTGGCTCTCGATGCCTGGTGTAGCTGTTCGTGGACAGCGTGGCGCCGCGATCCCAGTCATGCTGCGTTTGATGCACGTGGTGCTTGCCTGTCCCCGATTCGGGAGCGGCAAAAAGGGGGGCGTCCAAGAGGGGGGGGTGCAAATCATGGCCGGCGGCATGTGCGCGGCCAAGGAGGGGGGCCAGGAACGTAATGAAATAAGAAGGGGCGCCATGAAATCTGGGGAAATATCCTGGCCCCCGCCATGATATCCCCCCCCCCTAGTCACCACCCCCCTCTTTGCCGCCCCTGACCGATGCGGTGTGCAAGGCTGGCCGCAGGGGGACATGGGACTCTCGAAGGCGACCCAGGGGCCTGGCTGCCGCGCTACATGCAGGGGCCAGCGGCGGCACACGCATGAATGTATGGCTGGCAAGAGGGCTCCTCCTCCTCTCCTCCTCCTCCTCCTCCTCCTCCTCCTCCTCCTCCTCCTCCTCCCCCCCCCTCCTGCTCCTCCTCCTCCTCCTTTTCCTCCACTTCCTCTTCCTCCTCCTCCTCCTGGCAAACGTGGTGTGCAGGGCTGGCAAGCGGGCATTTCTTCTTATAAAACCTCACCACTCCAGCAGTCGGCCGATGATCAATCGGTGCGCGTCCCGAAGCCACGATATCCCTCAGAAGCAGTCGACGGCAAGAACGCACAGCAGCAGCGCAATGCGGATATGCAGGACCAAGGCCCTTGGAAGCCCCATTCACAATTCCGAGCTCCTTGGACGTCAACATTGGCTCAGGCCCAGGATGGGCCGAAAAAGCAGGGATGCAAGTGTAGCCTTGGTGAAACAACGTCCTTACTGTAGACAGTGCCTGTCCGGGCCCGCGCTCTCGAGACCGCAACCCGCTGCAAGAAACCCTTGGACCGAGATTCCGAGGGCAAGACTCCAGATCGAATCTGAGTCTGGGCTCCAGCAACAAGAATAACACAGCTGTTCCGCACTATTGACGCTACGATCCCTGGGTACAAAGCTACTGATCCGCGCTCCTGAGGTCACGACGCCCTTGACAAATAATGCCACGACCCCTGGTAGAGAACTATGCGCCTGCATTCCCGAAACCACGATCCCTCGCAACGAAAACGGACTGCTGTCTGACCGTGTTAAAGCTATGGTCCCCCGCTCCGAGGCCACGATCCTTCATGACAAGCAGGGGCTTGCGCCCGCAAACAAAAGAACACACACCACCTCTTCCACGAGCAGGCAGCCACGGCGAAGCTCTCCCCTGGTTGCGCCCGCTCCTGGGGTCGCCCTCCCCCTCCAGCTCGGGGAGAGCGACGCCCCAGATCGGCACGCCGACTGGCAGACCGACCTGCCAGACAGCCCAGCCAGCCAATCAGCCGAGCTGCCAGACTGCCCAACCGAGCAGCCAGTCCACCAGCCTCCTCCTCCTCCTCCTCCTCCTCCTCCTCCTCCTCCCCCTCCTCCCCCTCCTCCTCCCCCTCCTCCTGCTCCTCCTCCTCCCCCTCCTCCCCCTCCTCCTCCCCCTCCTCCTGCTCCTCCTCCTCCTCCCCCTCCTCCTCCTCCCCCTCCTCCTGCTCCTCCTCCTCCTCCTCCACCAGCCGATACCACCAACCCCGCCGTGCAGGCGCCCGGAAGGGCCCGGGGGCGGGGGGGGGGCAGCGGCGGAGGGCGAGGCCCCTCGGCTTGCGGTGCTCAAACTCGCGCAGCAGCGACACCTCGCGGACGACGTGCGCGGGCACGCCGTCGCTGCGGCCGAGGCCGAACCTCACACGCTGGAGCGCCACCTTCTCGCCGCCCTCGCGGTCCCACGCCACGAGGACTGCCCCGCAGCCGCAGGCCCCGGGGCCTGCAAAGTGCAGGGGCTCGTACCTCTGCGACCCCGCGATCTCCTCCCAGTCCGGCTCGTGCACGTCGGGCTCCGGCGAGGGATCCAAGCTCTCGGGGGATGTGCTGCTCGGGCCCCTGGCCCATGTGATGGCTCGGGGGAAACAGAAGATCAGCGACACGCCCTCTTTGGGAGCCCGTCCGAGAGCTTCTTCTTCGTCTTTTCCGGACGCCACTGTGATTCTTCAACCATCATGCGCCGAGGGCTTCCCCCATCCTCTCTCCCTTCTCCCGTCTCCCTTCTTCTCCTCCTCCTCCTCCTCCTCCTCCTCCTCCTCCTCCTCCTCCTCCTCCTCCTCCTCCTCCTCCCTCCTCCTCCCCTCCTCCTCCTCCTCCGCCCTCCTCCTCCTCCTCCGCCTCCTCCTCCTCCTCCTCCTCCTCATCATCATCATCATCATCATCATCATCATCATCATCATCATCATCATCATCATCATCATCATCATCATCATCATCATCATCATCATCAGCATCATCATCATCATCATCATCATCATCATCATCATCATCATCAGCATCAGCATCAGCATCATCATCATCATCAGCATCATCATCATCATCATCATCATCATCATCAGCATCATCCGCCTCCTCCTCCTCCTCCTGGAGGTGCCAGCTGCGGCCTCGGCGACTTCTGCATGGCGCTCTCTGCCCACGCGTCCTTCGCGGACGCGCGGCTTTCTTCTTGCCTGGCCTTGTCGAGAGGGGCTCCCCGCGGCGGCGCGTCGTCGACGCTGCGCTTCCTCCCCGCATGGTGCTGCCCGCGTCCGTGGAGGCCCCGCTCCGGGCTCCCGGGCCCGGCGCCCGCTCCCCGCCAGCGCTGCCGCCTAGGGCCAACGACTCCAGGCCGCCAGCGGCCGCGGCGAGCACCTGGGAGGCATCCTCGGCGCCTGCCGCGCCCTGCTGGCTCATCGGGTGCGAGGCCCAAACCCCGTCGAACCATGCACAAGTCACGACGGAAGGTTTCCGCTATTTTCGGCCCCTGGGGGTCCTTGCCAAGCCTCGGAACCATCGAACAAAAAACTCCAGATGAATTACCCTGGCGACGTACCCAACCCTTGCGCAATGCGGGGCATAAGTACATCAGGATTGCTACAACGGGGGCGATGACGTAACATGGACGCATATGATTTTTTTGCGAGCAGCAATCGGAAGACTCGCGGGCCCCAGATCAAGATATACAATGGCTACGTAATAACAAATCACCCCCGATGGCTGTGCCATGCGCCCGTTGCACCCAACGTATCCCACAGCAGCTCTTGAGAGCCCCCGCGGGACACGTGTAGGCGCAACGTTGTGGCTATCGCCCGGCAGATGGTCTGTTCCACAAATCACCCCCGTTGGCTGTGCCATGCGCCCGTTGAGCCTAACGCATACCACAGCAGCTCTCCAGAGCCCCCCAAGGACGGCGAGGTCTCGCTCAGGTCCCCGCGGTGCCTCACTCCGCTGGACACACCAGCAGCCCTCGAAAGTGGCGACAGTGTCGCAGATCGCAGCCCCCCCAGGGACGGCGAGGTCTCGCCCAGGTCCCCGCGGTGCCTCACTCCGCCGGACCCACCAGCTGCCGTCGAGAGTGACGACAGTGTCGCAGATCGCAGCCCCCCCAGGCACGGCGAGGTCTCGCCCAGGTCCCCGCGGTGCCTCACTCCGCAGGACCCACCAGCTGCTGTCGAGAGTGACGACAGTGTCGCGGATCGCAGCCCCCCCAGGGACGGCGAGGTCTCGCCCAGGTCCCCGCGGTGCCTCACTCCGCAGGACCCACCAGCTCCAGTCGAGAGTGACGACAGTGTCGTGGATCGCAGCCCCCAGGGACGGCGAGGTCTCGCCCAGGTCCCCGCGGTGCCTCACTCCGCTGGACACACCAGCAGCCCTCGAAAGTGGCGACAGTGTCGCAGATCGCAGCCCCCAGGGACGGCGAGGTCTCGCTCAGGTCCCCGTGGTGCCTCACTCCGCTGGGCACAGAAGCAGCCCTCGAAGATGGCGACAGTGTCGCGGATCGCAGCTCCCCCAGGCACGGCGAGGTCTCGCTCAGGTCCCTGCGGTGCCTCACTCCGCCGGACCCACCAGCTGCCCTCGAAAGTGGCGACAGTGTCGCGGATCGCAGCCCCCCCAGGGACGGCGAGGTCTCGCTCAGGTCCCCGCGGTGCCTCACTCCGCTGGACCCACCAGCAGCCCTGGAAAGTGGCGACAGCGTCACAGATCGCAGCCCCTTGGCAAGATGCATTCACAAGAGGTACCGCAGCCAGGATGCACACACACACACACACGAGGTACGCGCAAGGCAAGAGGAGACAAGACGGAAGCGGGAGACGGGAGGCGGGAGGAGGAGGAGGGGGAGGGGGAGGAGAAGGAGGGGAGGGGAGGAGGAGGAGGAGGAGGAGGAGGGGAGGAGGAGGAGGGAGGAGGAGGAGGAGGAGGGAGGAGGAGGAGGAGGAGGAGGAGGAGGAGGACTGGAGACCGCAGTGCTCTATTCAAAACGAATACCCGACCAAGGAGGGTTGGGAAAAACGGGTCCAGGGGAGTGGGTCGAGACCTCCAGGGGTCGCCGTCATGAAAAATCCATGACGTCGGGGGTCTGGGGGGGGGCGGCGACATGGGGGGACCGGCATAGGGGGGGGGGGGGCGGGCATCGAGCATGGATCGGCGACACATCGCCGATGGATCGACGACAGGCACCCGATGGCGAGTCCTCGCGTTCCTGGGCGGAGTGGGCGCTAGGGGGGTCCCCCCTCAACGTCGCCCCTGACTGTAGTGGGGCGAGGTGCCCAGTCGACCTAATTACGCGGGCCTGGTTCAGAGAGGAGCAAATGCTCGTGGAGTGGGCCAACTGCACGAGAAGAAAAAAAAACTTCTGCCAAAATGACTCGAGCCAGAATTGCCACGGAACGCTAGATGCTGGTGATGAGGACGAAGCCGGTGACGTGTTCCAATCGACGCTCCCCGCGCGTGCTACCCTACTAGGGCCATCCGGGACATGGTCGAGGGCAATCGGCCGTGCTGTCCAGATCGTCAAGTCAAGTCAAGTCCGGTCGAGGGGCCTGGAGGCCGCTCGGCCGGGGGCGGGGGAGTGGAGGAGGGGGGGGCCTGCGGAGGGAAGAGGAGGAGGAGGAGGAGGAGGAGGAGGAGGAGGAGGAGGAGGAGGAGGAGGTCGAGGAGGGACAATGCAGCACGACATCCCCAGGGCTTCCCGGGGCTTCCTGCAAGAAGTTCCAGGCGCCTCCTGGCAGTCTCCGGACTCCCCTGGGTCCCTGGCCCGCCTGGGGCACCCCCCAGGGCACTCCTGGAGCACCCTGGGGTCTTGCCAACCGTCGCCCAGGCCTCCTCGGTTCTACAGGACGCGCAGAATCAGGGGGAGCAGGAGAAGGACGACGAGGACATGGAGGACGATGAAGATGGCGAAGGAACGCGAGACGATTATGTTTTCGGCCCCGCGACCCCCGCGCTAGAGCGATGACCGCACACTGTAAGTGCTGCCCTGGAGGCCGTCGGGAGGGTCTTGAAGGCGGCAGTGCAACCTGAAGGCACCCAAGCAGCTGCAAACAAGTAGATAACTGACACATGCCCCGGGCTAGAAATGTGTATGCTCTTTCCTTGCCCGACGAAGCCCCTCAAAAGAGTCTCACGGGGACCCTGGGAGGCCCTGAAGGACGTCCATACACCCTTGGGGATACCCCAGCACACACACACACACACACACACCATGAGCCGAATAAGAAACAACAAAATAAACATAAACGTTCAATTCCCAACCATCCTGGGGTGTTGGGTCTTCGTTTTGAAAAGACAACGCCCCACGTTCTTCGCCCTCCTCTCATCCTCTTCCCCCTCCTCCTCCTCCTCCCCGTTCTTTCTCCACCCATCTCCTCCCGCCTCTCATCCGTGTCTCTGCCTTCATTTCGGCATACCCCTCACTCATTTGGTGGCCCCATAGGGAGCTCCACCGAAGGCCCCAGTGGCAGCGCCCGCATGCAGGTACATCCCCCATTTCAACACACCCCTCACACGTTGCGTAGCCCCATAAGGAGCTCCAGCGAAGGCCCCAGTGGCAGCGCCCGCATGCAACTCCACACTCGTTTCGGTGTCACGCTTCGTGGCCCCGTAGGGTGCTCCACCTAAGGTCCCAGTGGCAGGGCCCGAATGCGGTTCCACCATCTATTTCGGCACATCCCTCCAAATTCCGTGGCCACATAGGGAGCTCCACTGAAGGCCCCAGTGGCAGCGCCCACATGCAGTTTCACCTGGATGGCGGTGCACCACTCACACGTTTTGTGGCCCCATAGGGAGCCCCACCGAAGGCACGAGTGGAAGCGGCCGCATACAGTTGCACCCTCCATGTCGGCACACCCCTCACACGTCGTGTGGCCCCATCGGGAACTCCACCGAAGGCACCAGTGGCAGCGCCCACATGCAGTTCCACCCTCCATTTCGTTCCACCCTCGGCACACCCCTCCTACGTCTCGTGGCCCCAAAGGGATCTCCACCGAAGACCCCAGTTGCAACGCCAGCACGATGTTCCACTCCCATTTCGGCACACCCCTCCCACGTGCCGTGGCCTCATAGGGAGCTCCACAAAAGGCACCAGTGACAGCGTCTGCATGCAGTTCCACCCTCCCTTCTCGGTGCAGCCCTCACACGCTTCGTGGCCTCATAAGTAGCTCCACCGCAAAGGCCCCAGTGGCAGCGCCCGCATACGCTTTGACCCTCATTTCAGTGCACCCTCCAGACGCTTCGTGGCCCTAGGGAGCTCCTCCGACGCCCCCTGTGGCAACGACCGCATGCACTTCCACCCTCGTGGCCCCATAGGGAGCTCCACCCAAGGACCCAATGGCAGCGCGCGCATGCAGTTCCACCCCCATGTAGGTGCATTCCTCACACGCTTCATGACCCCATAGAGAGCTCCACCGAAGGCCTCAACGGCAGCGCCCGCAGGGGGTTCCACCTTCTATTTCGGCGACCCCTCACACCTTCCGTGGCAGGATAAGGCTATGCCACAGGGAGCTCCACCTGAATCTCCAGGGGCAGCGCCCGCATTCGGTCTCATCCTCCACTTCGACACACCTCTTACACGCTTCGTGCCCCCATAGGGAGGCCCACCGCGAAGGCCCCAGCTGCCCCTGTTGCTGGCCCCCCTTCTTCAATTCATTCCCCCCGCGATGCTCGAAGGCCCCAGTGGCAACACCCGCATGGTGTCCCCGCCAGATTTCGGCACACAATTTACGCGCTTCGTGGCCCCATAGGGAGATCCCCCGAAAACGAGAATCACAACGACGGCACATCCTACTGCAGATGGTTGGGCCCTTCGCCAGGCTAAGTCTTTCCGTCGGCGCTGGGCCCCCTGGAGGCGCCTCCGGCGCCGCCCCTGGCGCGCTCCACGCGCCAGGGAAAGTGGGTCCAGCGCCGACCCAAGAGATTCGCGCGGACGTCCCAAAGTCCCACCAGCCCTGTGAGCGCAGGCAGCTTCATGATTTGGTTCTTCTAACTTCCATATTCCCCTTCGGGAAGAGGGCTCGCTCTGCCCATGCCCCCTCTCCCTGCATCTGGACGGGCCAAGTGAATGACCTCCAGGATCACACAATGTAGCCAGAGATGGCTCAAGATAGCTTCCAAAATGCCTCCAGGAGGCGCAATAACTGTCCCAATATGGTTCCAGGTGGCCTGACGAGAACCCAGAAGGCCTCCAAGGGGGCCCCAAGACAGCCCCGATAGGCCCCAAGATGGCTCAAAGAAGCTGCCAAGAGGCTCTCATATCGACAGATCTGCGAAGGCATTTAGGGACGACTCCTGGGCCTGCTCAGGCTGATACAGATCTTCGGTTCGATGGCTGCCCTCCCTCTTTGCTTCACTGCGTGCTCCCACACTTCCCTGATCTACGCCACTCGCCTAGGCATCGTTGCTGGATGGGCTTGCAGGGA